ACCATGTACACTGAAGTTATGAGTATTATATTTTTAAAAAATTTTTTTAACAAAAAAAAAGAAAAAAAAAAAACAAAAAAAAAAAGAAAAAAAAAAAAAAAATTTTCTCAAGAAGGGGGCTATGACCATGAGTTAATGTTGGCATTTTCAGTGCAAAACTCATCACACACCAAGCCAGATTTATTTTCACGTTAAAATTTGAGGTAAAGAACATTTTTAAAATCATTATGTTGTAATCAGTATTATCAAAATTATTAGTTCATAATGTTATAATAATCTTATAACCTTAATACTTGCAAATATTTGCAGTCTGTGCATGTCAGGGTGTGCTGTGTGATGCGACAGCTTATCATATGTGGACCACAACATTAAAATATCATGTAAGATGAAAATTGCCATGCAGCGCTTACTTCCTGTTGCCAATAGGTGGCGCTCTCATTATATCTGAATATTGTCAAATAGACGTGTTCAGGGCGGGACTCTTATCAAATATGTGAAGTTTCATCGAGATCAGATAATGTACACTGAAGTTGTGAGGATGTGTTCAGGCTAGGACTGTTACAGAATATGTGAAGTTTAGTGGACATTGGCACTGAATTTATTACTATCTGTTTATGGTGAATGGTCGAAATTCAACGCAACGCCACGTCCACGCCCTTCGACTGAATAACGTAAATAACACAACTTTTAATCATGAATATCTTCAAATTGTGCTGATTAAATTTGAAGTTGATCCGATAAATTCCCTGGGAGGAGTTTGTTCAAATACAACACGAAAATTCACCAAAAATGAAAAAAAAAATCAAAATGGCTGACTTTGATGCCACACCACGGACACGCCCTTTAATGTACATGCACAAATAGCACAACTTTTAATCAGCACCATTTTTTGACTGTATTGACCAATTTTGAAGTAGATCCGATAAATTCCCTAGGAGGAGTTCGTTTAAATACAAGGCTGCTGTTTTTTTTATCTTGTAGGGGGCGCTACAAACAAGACAAACACGGTTTTTGGTATGTGAGCTTCAGGCACCAGTCTACATGTGCCCTGTGAATTTCATATTCATAACTATTACGGTCTCCGCACAGTGATTTATCATGCCAAAAGAGCGCCACCTAGTGGCAGATTGTTGAGACATTTTTTAGCAAGCCTCAGGGAGCCATGGGCAATCATCGTACCAAGTTTCATCTTAATCACACATACCATTGTAGAGATATAAACTTTTTAATTTTAAACAGCGCCACCTAGTGGCGATGACCTGAAATTGTGCACGATGCCTAAGGAAGATATGGAACTATGGACCCAAGTTTGGTGTCAATCGGACATACCAGTGTGGAGAAATGGTCCACTTCCTTTTTTGACGAAAAACCCACAGGAAGTGCTAATTTTATAACGTGCTGGTTTTTTTAAATATCAAAATTCTTTTAATCACTATTTTATTATGAGGGTCCTCAGATGCTACGTGAAAAATTTTGTGCGAATCAGACAAAGCGCATGGGGGGAACACGGAAAAGTAGTTTATGGACATTTTGCGCTCTTGCGGAGAAAAAATATAGGAGGAAGTGGGCGTGGCCTATATAGGGAGATTCAGCTCTATTCACTGAACGTGTGGATTTTTGAATGTGTGACAAACTATGCAGAAGTTATTAGCCTAAACACATTTTTTATGATAGTAGCACCACCTAGTGGCCAATCCGAAAGCGACGCATAGAATATCCCCATTTTCACACCCATTTCGTATATGTTCACAGGGGCAAAAATGCAGTCAAAGGGAGCTAAAAATAATAATAGGTAAGAAGAAGAAGAAACATAGCAAATACAATAGGGACCTCCAGCGGTCTCTGGCTTGGTCCCTAATAAGAATAGGTAAGAAATCGAGCAAAAACAATAGGGACCTCCAGCAGTCGCTGGCTCGGTCCCTAAATATACTGCATTTCCGGTTTACAGACTACTACTGTAAAGTCAATTTACAGTATGAATACCGTAAAATTACAGTATATTGCTGGCGTCCCTGCTGCCAGCTCTTTACCGTAAATTATAGAATAACAGAAATATACTGTATTTCTTGTTTACAGTCTACTACTGTAAAATTGTTTTACGGATGAATACCGTAAAAAAAACGGTATATTGCTGGCATCCCTGCTGCCAGCTCTTTACTGTTATTTTCGAGGGAAATGATTTACAGTGTACCTGTGGGAAGCACACCTTGACCTCAAATAATTCATCAAATCTTTCATCAAACTACTGTAATTATTTTTAGCCCCCTTTGACTGCATTTTTGCCCCCCTGAACATATACGAAAAGTCAATTTTATTTAGCAAAGTTGTCAGGCCTGGTGAAAATGGGGATATTCTATATCGCTTTCGGGTTGGCCACTAGGTGGCGCTAGTATCATAAAAAATGCATTTAGGCTAATAACTTCTGCCTAGTTTGTCGCACATTCAAAAACCTTGTATCCACACGTTCGGTGAATAGAGCGGAATCTCCCCATATGGGCCATGCCCACTTTCGCCTCTAATTTTTCTCCGCTAGAGCACGAAATGTCCATAAACTACTTTTCCGTGTTCCCCCCATGCACTTTGTCCGATTCGCACAAAATTTTTCACGTAGCATCTGAGGTCCCTCATAATGAATAAGTTTTTCAAAGAGTTTTGATATTTCAAAAAATAAGCATGTTATAAAATTAGCACTTCCTGTAAATTTTTCGTCAAGAAAGGAAGCAGACCATTTCTCCACATTGATATGTCCGATTAACACCAAGCTTGGGTCCATAGTTCCCCATGTCTTCCTTAGGCATCGTGCACAATTTCAGGCCCTCAAAGTTGGCCAGGTTGAATCGAATGTCAAACTGTGATGCCATTTCCGGCATTTAAGGCCTTCTGTTTTAACTAACTCCTACAGATTTTATCAGATTGACTACAAATTCACTGCAATCACTGCAATCTAAACACATTGGTCATCAAAATTTGTGCTATTTGAGACTGTATGTTGAAGGGTGTGTCTGTGGCGCGCAGTCAAAGTTGGCCATTTTGAATTCTGTTTTCATACAAACTAGATGAAAAGTTGACTGTACGTCAAACCACTAGCCAGTGACGACTCATCGAATTCAGCCGATTCGCCATAAAACAGTACTCATAACTTCTGTGAGCAATGTCCAATCTCCAATAAACTTCACATATTCTGTAACAGTCCTAGCCTGAACACATCCTCACAACTTCAGTGTACATTATCTGATCTCAACGAAACTTCACGTGTTTGATAAGAGTCCCGTCCTGAACACGTCTACATGACAATATTCAGACACAGAGATAGCGCCACCTACTGACAACAGGAAGTAAACGCTGGGTGGCTATTTTGAGCTGATTTACGGCGACGCGGCCACAGCACACCCCGAGTTGCGCGGAGTGCGAGGTCCCGCTCAACGCTGCTTGCAGCTTTCATTTATCTTTAAAACTTTAAAGGCCCTAACAACCTAGTTTTCACTGGTTTGAAGTGGACGGGACTCAGTTTTGAAAAGATGTCACTTATTTTGGTGCACCAATCACAGTTTAGCAACAATTGAATCAAAATAAAGAAGTCCTTCCCTATCCGGTGGACTCTTCCACTTAATCAAAGATGGATGTCACCTCCCTCCTTCCTTCCATTGTAAAATAATGAAGCCCAAATATTCTGCTTATGGCTGCTGCCATTTTCTGTACAATAGAGATTGGAGTTAGTATCAAGTCCTGCACATACGCCTGGCTAAATCAGTCGTGAATCAGGGCTCAGCTGTCAATGATGAGCTGAAACACCCTTTTTATAGCTTCAAATAACTAATTAAAACCAAACTTGTAAAAAATGTAATACTTGAAAATTCATCACGATCATGATAAGAAACACCTAAAATGACAAAACCATCTTTGTGAAAAAAAAAATTGACCTGTACTTTTACATAATTTTTTTTTTAGTTTGGCTGATCCAGATGTTTTGGCTTCACTTTTGGAGAGCTGTCAGGTCGTCCAATCTTTATATATGTCGATGGTTAAAACACACATCAGGTTCAACATGTTTGTGTGGGTGACGTATATTGTGCCATATGAGAGTGGTTTCACACAAAACTAAATGGCACTACGACAAACGACTTTCCTGACTTGCAAAATGATCTTTTAAATAACCAAATAGTATATGTGTAAATTATGACACCATTTAACGGGGACTGAAAATATATTCATCTCATGCCATTGACTATCTTACATGTTATTCTAAAACAGGGACATCAGAAGGGGAGGGACATTGCCTCTCTATGTGGTGACAGTTGGTGGGTTGTTTACTTAGGTTTTCAGGCTACTGTCAGTAACATCAAACCACACCCACACAGTTGTGATGGAACTGATTAATTAAGTGTTAAACTGTGTCTTCTTTTGTGATCTTTAACTTTGACTGTTAAATATATTTCACAGAGAAATAGTTAAGATTTGGAACCAAGGCGTCAGGGTAAATGGTAATGGTAAATGGACCTGTACAGCACACATTCAATCAGAAATGGCAAAGTCCATCGAACAGAAACTAACTCATTCATACACATTCACGCACCGATGTGCGGAACAATTCGGGGTTCACTATCTTGCTCAAGGATACTTCGACATGTGGCATGAGGAGCCGGGGATCTAACCAACAACCTTCTGATTAGTGGACGACCCGCTCTGCCTCTGAGCCACATCCGCCCATTGTATATAGATGTTAAACTTCAGATCTGGATTAAATGTACATCAAGTGAAGTTTACCTTAACGGTTCACCCTATATGCCAAGGTTAAAGGAATCCTTGTTGGAGGGATGTGACAGAGAACAGAAGCTGTACAGATGAACAAATTCATTTCCACCTGCACTATGACATAATGAGGGAATATACACTTTGGATGATTTGTGTTCTTTACTTCTGTGTGCTGCTGGCAATTTGTCTTCTATTGTATGTTCCAATAACTGAGCACATGAGCGTACTGTGTGTGTGTGTGTTGTCAGGCTGAAGGTGGTCCTGGAGCAGATGGACCGTGGCGTCGTAGACCTGCAGGAACTCCGCAGGAACCTGGAGCTCGCTGCTGCCATGTTGGACGCTGTTTACACTGATGAAACCAAGTAGGACTGAACAGGCTGATGGATGGATGTAGCTAAATAAATCCTTGTGTCTGGTTGTCCAGGCTGCGGCTGACAGCCATATCTTTCCATTCTGCAGGCGTCTGTTGGACACTGAGGATGAGCTCAGCGACTTGCAGGTGGAGTCGGTGCCAAGCGAAGTACGTGACTGGCTGGCATGTACCTTCAGCAGGAAGATGGGCGTATCCAAGCGCCGTCCTGAGGAGAAGCCGAGATTCAGGAGCATTGTCCATGCAGTACAAGCTGGGATATTTGTAGAGAGGTAAAAAAAAAAATAGTTACGCCCCCTGTCCGTTAAATATAATGTATCTGAAGTACTGAAACTCATCTCAGTAGATTTGCTAAGAAACCACAAAACCAACGTTTACATCAAAAACTATTTGTCGGATGAAAATAAATCACATCTATAGCAGCTAAAAGACAAAACAGAAAAGCAGGTGTCTCATTGGCTAGTGTTGTCTGTTTAAATCCACATACTCAAACATACAGTAGGTCAACACACTGCACCTTTGAAATGTATCATCAGGAAGGTCACACATTGCCTCCCATAGCTTCTTCCTTCCTTCCTTTCTGTCCTTCAACACTCTTTCCCCACTAACAATGCCTATTATCTGCTATAGTCCCAAGTCACAAGATGAAACCTAAAAGCATATAATGTATATAACATCATGCTGGCAGAAAACAGTCAACGCTCATGTTTTACAAAAACAAAACATCTGCTCCTTTAGTCCACCATCAGCAACTCGCTTAAATTTTTATTTTTTTTAAACCCAGTAGGAAATGTCATCAGTCTTACTTTAATGGTGCCCCGCAGTCAGTGTGGGAGGAAATGTCTGCATATGCTAACCGATAGCAGGCTCTCTCTGTAAATGACTTGGATGCGGCAAGAGTCCTCCTCACTGCTTCTTCAATGGGGGCAAGCAGTGCAGTTCACTTTTCTAAATCAGTGCTCAGGGTATATTAAGGGAGATTCTAGCATATTTTAACTTGGCCGTTTCCCAAAAATGTGGCTATTGTGACTCCAAGTTAGGGATGCAACGATACATTCAGCCACATATCGTGACATCACCCATTGGGTGTGAAGTGTCGTTTTAAAGTCTTGAATTTGGCCTTTTGGCCGCCGCCATGACAATTAGACGAGCCAGCGGGAGCCAGCGAAATTGACGTACTGCCAGTTGGTCTACACTCCACTACATCAAAAGGTAGCCCCGCCCAAAAGCATACACCGCTTTATTGTCTATTTTACTCTAAATGGGACCATCATTTACTAAATGAACATCATGCTGTATGGAAGAAGCGTGAAACTAGACATTGAGACCATAAACTCATCAGGAAACTGTTTACTGAGCTCATAAATGAAGTGAGAAGTTGGGTCATTCTCCATTAGAGTGAACGCGATCGCTGTGTTATTGCAGCCAATGGAGCTCCCTCTGCTGGCCTTTACATAGAATGCAGGTTTTAAGACACTTCCATGTTGGTTTCACTTTTCAGACCCGGAAGCTCTTTCCATTATATTTACTGTCAATGCATTTAACTCATGTTTTGATACAAAACACAATACTGGGTTCACAATATGATTTTGTCACGATTCTTTAACATTAAAGACAAATTATGACTGAAGACAAAAATCTGCAACAGATATATATTTTTTATCTGAGGCAGTGCAAAAACAATGCACATTTCCTTTTCTTTGTAAAATTGAAAAAGCTGCCACACCTCTGATTTTAAACAGGATGGTGCATCCTCAGTTTCAAAGCTTTACACTGTCTTTGCACCTTGATACAGCTACTGACATGAGTGACATAGATAGATAGATAGATAGATAGATAGATAGATAGATAGATAGATAGATAGATAGATAGATAGATAGATAGATAGATACTTTATTTATCCCGAGGGAAATTCAAGTATCCAGAGGGAAATTCAAGGACATCAAACAAGCAAAGTCGACAGTAGATGGTGCCCTCTGTTATGTACTGTTGGCTAAAGAGTATCACAATTAATTTCTCATCTTACCAATTGGAATCTTCACATATTTGTGTTGAGATTTAACTTAACTTGAGTCTTATAATATATCGTAACATTCCTACTCCAAGTCATGAAAACTTTGCCACCTCCATTGAAGACGTTTGGGGAACCTGAGGGAGCTTAGCCTCCAACAGCTTTCCAAATAAACACATTAATCATTTCAATCACGTCTCTGAGTCTGACTAAAAGTAAACACAGAAAGAAGCTGCCTAAAACCATTATACCAACCACCCATTATAGCTAACTACATATGGAGCATCTGGAGCCACTTGAACACATTCAACACCTCTAGAGAGATCCTCCCTACATTTTTAATTTTTTTGTATTTTTGCTAGTCAAAAGACAATCGACACCACATACTTGTGTAATTTTTGTCTGGCTCTGTTTTTCCTTGATTTGGGCTCATTGTAGTTCCAATGGAGGAAAATCTTAATGCTACAGCATATGATGGTATTTCAGACAATAGTATTTGTGTTTGTCCCTTTCCTGTCTCAACAAGACAGTGCCCCCATTCACAAAGCCGTAAAGAAAAGACATGTTTGTTCCATAGAGAAATGGTTTTTCCAGTTCGTTATGAAAGAACTTGACTGGCCTGCACAGAGCCCTGACCTCAAAACCATCAATGTTGCCCCTCAGTGAGGCTCTTGTGACTGAATGGGACCGAATCCCTGCAGCAGGTTTAACGTCTGGTGGAAAACCTCCTGTAACAAGAAGAGTGGAGAATAGCAGCAGAATAATGCCCATGGCAATGTCCACATACTTTAGGCCATGTAGTGCAATAACAACAGAAAACTATGACCCCTTAATGTCCAGTCAGATGATTGTCTCAGTCTTCCAGGTTATTTTTGTCTTCAACACAAAACAGAAAACATTTAACTTCTTCAAAATAAACATCACAAAACATCCGGCTGACTCCACTGCAGATTTGATTATGAGGTTGAATATTAAGTGTAATGACATTAGTATGCGAGCGAGCTGGAGATGGAGATCATATAGGGAAACTATGATTTTCAATATCATTATAGTGTAAAGGACTCGGAGTAATAGAACGCTATCAGTTCATCTGCTGCAGCTTAATGACGCATGAAATCAAAAAATATCTGCTGCACTGTGGTGGTGCTCACTGTGTGTGTTTAGAACACGGTTACCATGGTGACAAATAATCCATCCTGGTCACAAACTGTGGAGGAGGGCAGCTGGAGGTCTGCGGGAGGAGTGTTTATATGCATGCAACTGTCTGTATCTATGTGTGAGATTTGTGCATGATATTTTTATCTGTGTGTGTGTGTGTGTGTGTGTGTGTGACATCAGGATGTACAGACGGACATCCAACATGGCTGGTCTGAGCTACCCTCCCACGGCTTTGACAGCTCTGAAGGTAAAAACTGGTTTATTACTGCAGTCCCATCTGCAGGAAGTGACATCATTTAGTTATTTATCTACTTTTTAATTATTATTTAAAAAATCAAATCAAATCAAACCCTTTTAGTCAGTCAGTTACTACTCTGAAAGGCAGTTTTGCTTTCTCTTGAAACTTGAAAGAGAAGGAGGAAGACAAGAAAAATAAAGAATGAAAGAAGATAAGGTAGGAGATAGGAAAGGAAAAGGGAAGTAGGGAAGCAAAAGAAGAAGAGTGAGAAAAAAAGGGAAGCAAGAAAAAATAAAAACAGAATAAGGAGGTAGGAGAAGGAAAAGAAAGTAGGGAAGAAAAAGAGGAGGTAGGGAAGGAAAGAAGGAGTTATAGAGGTCATAGGAGGAGGAGGTAGGAAAGGAAAGGGGGAGTAAGAAAGATTCAGTGGTGTGTGATGACATATGTCTCACCCTCATAGCTTCCTGTATTATTGAATAATTATAATTATTAGACTATAATTATTCTGCAGCCATGTCTCATTCTCTCATGATATAAAGCACACATGGAAACAATTATAGAACTATTGAAAGACAATGCTGTATAAATAATCATGTCAAGTACATCATAATAACATTAACTTAAAATGTAATTATGATCTAATGAATAATTATAATCATTTATATAATTGGATAGTGTTCCAGCTCCTTTCCAATGTGAGCAAACATTATTGTTATACTTCCCTCTACTGGCAAAACTCCTACATTACATTGAATTACACTGAATAATGACCAGTTGTATACAGCGAAGTACAGAGCAGATATCCCTATACTGTACTGTCCCATTTCACATGTTTTTAGTCTCTGATACGACGGTGATAATGAGAGTGATGATGTCTAGCCGGACTCTTCCTGGTTGTTTTCCAGGAAGTGGATCAGTGGTCGTTTGATGTATTTTCCTTCCATGAGGCCACTGGAGACCACGCCCTCAAATTCCTGGTCTACGACCTGCTGACCCGCTATGACCTCATCAACAGGTTCAGGGTACACACGGCTTCATATCATTAACACTGCTGGGGTGGGTGGGTCCATGCTTCATTAACAGTTGAGCAAGCCTCTGTCAACTTCCTCCTTTCCTGTACTTAGATATGCTATGTGCTAGGCTAATCTATGTTGAAAAAACAACCACATTTTGAGGGTGGTAAAAAGATAAAAAGTCACATCTTAAGTTTGCTAATGTCAGCAAAATGCTATTTAACTTTATAGCTTTTACGATTGCTGTTAATTAGCTAGCTAGTTCCCTGCTGGCATTTTAACGTCAAGTCACTGTTGAATCAACGTCAGGTGCCAGTGTTGGATAACCGTTGAATTTTGTTTAGATTTTGCAAATCTAATCAACGTTGAAATAGCAATGTCATTCCAACGTCATGTTCTCAACATGGGTGAATTTGCCAACATTGAATCAATATTGATTTTAGTTTAGATTTTGCAAATCCAATCGACGCTGAAATTTCAACGTCACTATAAAGTCCTGCTTTTCAACATAGTTTGACACACTATATATTTGTTACACTGTTTTCTCTAAAGTATTGATGTGTTCAACAGTAGCTCCAGTAACACCAAACACCTTGAAATGGATACATTAACACTAAGTATGTGGACAGCACAGTCAGCTAGGAAGAAGCCAATTGGTCAAAGCAAGACCAGGAAGAAGATTAATAAAGACATTTCACTGACGTAAACATGAAACATTTGACATGGCTGCAAGTGTCCCAACATTTCAGTCTTTTTTCAACAATAATTTAGTCAAAGTCAGCTTTATTGTCAATTTCTTCACATGTACCAGACATACAAATGAATCGAGAGGACGTTTCTCACTCTCCCACGGTCAGATAAAGTGCACAGGCACAACAGACAAGACATTTACTAATACTAAAAGTAAACATTCACTTTCACAACAGACAAGACATTTAAAAAGATAGACAATAAAATATAAAATATACAATAATATAAAATATATAATATACAATACTTATTGTAGTGCAACAATACTTATGGTATAAATATACACATATACTTTAACAAGTGTCGAACTTTATAAAACGGCCCAAAAACAAAACAAACAAAACATTGGGCAACATTGAACATGGCAATGTTACTTCTTTCTCCCACCGCCACTCATCCTCTCTGGTGCATACTTTAAATATTTTGCCATGTATTCTTCCACTTTGGTGGTAGTGGTGTCAAACGAGCCCAAGACAGCGTCTGAAGAGGGGAAAAAAAAACAGATCAGTATTAGCAAACGTTAACCTCTCAAATTAAAATATTTTGCAAATATCAACTTCTGTGGCATTGCCAATGTTTCAAGTGTATAAATTAGTATTTATCAACGTGCAAGGTCATTGATCATCATGTGCTTGTGCGACAAACAAAAGGCAGTTGGTAGTACCAGTGCTGCCGGTAGAGAATGGAATATTATATATAACATTAGAGCATGCTCTGTAGAGTCCTCCAACTAAAATGATTTTTCTCATGAATTATTATTCTGCTTACTATCTTCAATTATTTAAAACATTGTTACAAAACTACTATGTTAAAGCAAACTCACCACAGAGGATTCTGTACAGATTGGTCTTCATGAAGGCAACCTTCTTCCTCTGAGGCTCATTATGGCCATCATTTTATTTGTCATAGTTCTGCCATGGTAAAACAGATTTATATTAGATTATAGTGCAATCAAGTTCATTATGAAAATGTAGCAGAGAGTGAGTAAGTGGGTGTGTGGGGGGAGTGCATGACAGTATATGAGGGAACATAATCACTATAAACTAATGCAAAAAAAAGGAACAAAGTTACTTACGCAGCCATTGACTTTTTGACATGGTCTGCAGCATCAACCCCTCCCAACCTCTTCAGATGAGCAACAAGAAATTAAAAATATAATATATATATTTTTTAGCACTTGTTGTCCTCCGGGGTACATTAGCTACTACTAGCATAACACACACACACACACCTCAGAAGCTCATGAACCTAGAAAAGGCACTTCCTGCTGTAAAGACATTACCCGGATGCAATTACCCTATGTGCCTATAAAACAGAATGGCGGTTGGCAGTTAAACTAGTCTGCCGTACACACAATATTAATTAACACAATACGTATTAATATATGAGTCAGGCACACTCAAAATTTCTTTAGGAATTTTCTAGTTATAAAATGTAATTTCAAAAACTTTGCTTACCGTTTTAGACTTGTAGCTGTTGCCAAAGTTAGTCCGAACCGGTCCAGGTCAGAATCTGGTTAGCCTGGATGAAGACAGACCCACTTTGCGAATGCGCAAGCGGGTGTTGTCTGGAACCGTCAGAGCCAATAGAATCCAGTTCTAACCGCCTTTGTGTCACGGACAACCGCCGTCCTCCAATCAAGCCCTTGTATTGAATGACGTTGCAAAATGATCAATCAGACTGGAGTTGCTCTGAAAGTACGCCGGGACATGTAGAAAGCATTTAAACGTTTAATGTCAGTCGTATGCCAGCTGGGTTAGCTTGTGGTTTGCTAATATAAGCTTTTCGATGTAGCCAAGTAGCGAAAAATGTATGTAGATTAGCTAGCTAGCAAGAAAGCCTTTTGCTAATATTAGCTAGCTCACATAAGATGTGACTATGTTGCTTTTATCTTTTAACCCTCTTCAAAATTTTGTTGTTTTTTCAACATAGATTGAGCTAGCACATAGCATATCTATTACAGGAGAGGAGGATGTTGACAGAGGCTTGCTCAACTGTTATTGGAGCAAAAAAGAGACTTGAGGAAAGGTCAATTGAGACATTTTTATTGTAATAATAATGAGGAAACATCAACACACTTCCATAAAACAGAACTATACTACCAAACAATAGTCTGATCCACCTCAAAATTTCACCCTTTTTGGATTCATGGTTTGACTTTAATTGTATTTTCACAAACAATGTACCAATTAATATTAAAAGAAAGTTTCACCATACATTTAGGGGGTAGGACATTTTGACATTTGAAGTTTAAAATAGACTATTTGGTTCTGGATGTATGCCTGGCATAGTGTAGTACTCCTTGTCCCTGTAGTATTGGTAGTTCCTGTAGTACCTGTAGTCCCTGTGGTATCTGTACTATCTGTAGTACTGTGTTCAGATCCCAGTGCAGGCTCTGGTGCAGTTTGTTGATGCTCTGGAGAATGGCTACAGCAAACACAAGAACCCCTACCACAACCTGATCCACGCTGCTGATGTCACTCAGACTGCCCACTTCCTGATGCTGCACACTGGACTGATGGTAACACGCACACACACCCACACACATAGACACACTGACATCACTCTGTCACGCACTGGTGGGACAGTGTTTCACATGATCTCTATGGACAGTCAAACTGTAGAAATTCTTTCAGTGTGACTGATACGAACCCACTCAAGTAACAGTGTGTGTGTGTGTGTGTGTCTGTGTAGCACTGGCTCAGCGAACTGGAGATTCTTGCAATGGTCTTTGCTGCAGCGATTCATGACTTTGAACACACAGGAACCACCAACAACTTCCACATCCATACCAGGTAATGTAGACTGTAATCTAATCAGATTATTCCATAAACCATAAACCTGTGGAATCTTATAGGAAAGTGACATTTTTTCTCACAGACTGGGCCTGATGGAACAAGTATGCTTTTATATGAATGAGTGATTTAGGTTAGGTTAGGTAAGTTTTATTTTTCCGATCATTTAAAAAATGAATTCACAATAATAACAGATGTTCATACAAACAAAACAAAATAAACAAAACAAAGATAAGAGAAAAAAGTGATAAGACATATAAGCAAAACAATTAATATATCATCATTCTTTTCTCAGCCCTATATGTTTCTCTTACAAATGATTTATTCTCTCTATTATTCACTTTTGTTTTCTTTGACTGAAAAAAAGGTGTAGACTGAAGCCTAAGCTTATTTTGTCTATCCTTTTTTAAAACATGAATTCAGTTTCTTTAAACAAAACTTATGTCAATAGCAGTGACTTTTAAACATGACAAAGTAAAATAAATTAACAATTTAAGTTCTCATAACAAACTAAAAACATAATTATCCAGATACCTGATTTCAAAAATTCACAATTCACAAATCCCCACATTCACTTCTTAAATGACTTTCTAATGTTTTGGTTTTAAATAATTTCTTAAATGAACCCATATTTTTTACTTTCTTTCAATTCAATGTCACAATCATTCCATGACTTCACTCCATACACTGACACACATCTACTTTTCATATTAGTTCTTGCCCATTTCCTTTCAAAAATGAAATTTCCCCTGAGTGTATAAGTGCTTGTCCTCTTTGTGAATAGTCCTTGGATACAGTCTGGAAGTGTTTTGCTCTATACATTAACTGTAATGTTTTAAAGTTAACCAAATCCATAAACTTCAAATTTTGAGAGTGCATGAATAACATATTGGTGGGGTGTGTATATTCAACCTTGTTAACCAGTCGTATAGCTCTTTTTGCAACAAAACATGCAATTTGTATTAGTTTTGTAAGTATTTCCCCATATCTCTATACAGTATGTAATGTAAGGAAGAATGAGTGAGGAATACAAAATTAATAATGATTTATGGTCCAAGATGTCCTTAGTTTTATAGAGTATTGCAATAGATTTTGATATTTTAGATTTAATGTAGTTTATGTGGGGTTCCCAGTTTAATTTATGGTCTATCATTACACCCAGGGATTTGTTTTCATACACTCTCTCTATTTCTACTTTGTTAATCCTGAGTTTAAGCTCATTGTTAATTTGTTTTTTTCCAAACACTATGAATTTTGTCTTACTTAAATTCAGTGACAGTTTGTTGACATCAAATCATTTTTTCAAATTATACAATTCACTTTCGATTATATCCAAAAGCTCATTCAAATCTTTATGTGAACAAAGCAAATTAGTGTCATCAGCAAAAATAACAAAATGTAGCAGCTCTGATGCTCTGCAAATTGCAGTGATTTGACTTTGGGTTGTCTCTTCTTTGTAAGACATGATCTCTTTAACATTTAGGTCTTTAGGTGTAACTTTGAAAGAAACTAAAATCGCAACTAATAATACGACTACAAGACCATTACCGTGCTAGCAGCTTTTAAATTAAGTTGGCTTAGCTGCCCAAACAAAGCTGCAGTTGATAACTTTTATGAAAATAACTTTTTGTCATGTTTGCTAAAACTTTCACTATATTCTGACAGTAGAACATGAGACTGATAATCTGTGAAAACATCTGGTTCCTCTGGCTCCTCCTAGTTCTGGTACAGTTCTGTACCAACAGAACAGTGGCAGAATGTTGAAAAACCAGGATAAGGTGATTATGTGCCACAGTATCTACCTGACTACTCCAGGTAGCATATCCAGGTTTCAGCAGTTTGATTGGATGTTGTGTCTGTCTGCCAGGTCAGAGGTGGCCATTCTGTACAATGACAGGTCAGTGCTGGAGAACCATCATGTCAGTGCCGCCTACAGGCTGATGGCAGAGGAGGACATGAACATCCTCGTCAACTTGAATAAGGACGACTGGAGGTGGGCACACAGATCACACATCACTGATGAATTGATACATAAACTATCACATATCACAGATAATATTAATTGTGTGTATTGATTATTGGCAGGGAGCTAAGGGCTCTGGTGATAGAGATGGTGATGTCCACCGACATGTCCTGTCACTTCCAGCAGATCAAGACCATGAGGAATGCCCTAACACAGACACACAGGTCCGTGCACCAACCATGACCTCTGTCCTCTAATCCTTAGCCAACATATATGTACCTGTGTTTGTTTTAGCTACATCAGCAGAACACAATAGTGCTGGTTATAATCTGCTAGTAATCGATAGATTAATAGGGGTGCCACCAAGGGAGGGTTCAATTCAATTCAATTCGATTTTATTTGTATAGCGCCAATTCATAACAGTTAGTTATCTCAGGACACTTTTCAAATAGAGCAGGTCTAGACCAAACTCTTTATAACATTATTTACAGATACCCAACAGTACCACCATGAGCAAGCACTTGGCGACAAGGGCAAGGAAAAACTGCCTGTTAAAAGGCAGAAACCTAGGACAGATCCTTCGGCTCTAGGTGGGTGGTCGTCTGTCTCGACCAGTTGGGGTGAAAGAGAGAGAGAGAGGCAGAGAGAGACAGACAGACAGACAGGTGCACAGTAACAACAGTATTGGCAATGGCAATCTAGCAGGACCATGGCAGGAGGCTCCACCAGGATCAATAAGAACCTGCGAGACGAGAAAGCACAAGAACTCCGGGGAAGAAGTGAAGTTAGTAACATGCATTAATGGGACAGGAATTCAATTCATTCAATTCAATTTATTTGTATAGCGCCAATTCATACAGAAGTTATCTCACACTTTTCAATAGAGCAGGTCTAGACCGAACTCTTTAACATTAATTACAGAGACCCAAAGTACCACCATGAGCAAGCACTTGGCGACAAGGGCAAGAAAACTGCCTGTTAAAGGCAGAACCTAGCAGATCCTCCGGTCTAGGGTGTTTTCACCGTTTAAAAAAAGAGAGAGAGAAAAAAAAAAGAGAGCGACAGACAGACAGTGCCGCAACAACAGATTGGCAATGCAGTCAAGCAGGACCATGGCAAGCTCCACCGGATCCTAGAACCTGCGAGACAAGCACAGAACTCCGGGGAAGAAGTGGTTGTAACATGCATAACATGAATGTGTGCAGAAAGAGAAAGAGGAAGAGAGTAGCTCAGTGCACCATGGGAAATCCCCCGATAGTCTAGGCCTATAGCAGCATAACTAAAGGATGGTTCAGGACTCACTTGAGCCAGCCCTAACTGTAAGCTTTATCAAAGAGGAATGTCTTAAGCCTACTCTTGAATGTGGTGAGGGTGTCTGCCTCCCGAACCACAACTGGAAGCTGGTTCCACAGGAGAGGAGCTTGGTAACTGAAGGCTCTGGCTCCTGTTCTACTTTTTAGAGACTATAGGAACCACAAGTAGCCCAGCATTCAGAGAACGTAGTGTTCTAGTGGGGTAATAGGGTACTATGAGCTCTTTAAGATATGAAGGGGCCTGACCATGAAGAGCTTTATAGGTGAGGAGGAGAATTTTAAATTCTATTCTACATTTTACAGGGAGCCAATGCAGAGAAGCTAGTAATGGAGAGATGTGATCTCTTTTCCTAGTTCCTGTCAGTACTCGTGCTGCAGCGTTCTGAATTAATTGGAGCGTTTTAATGGACTTATTGGGGCAACCTGATAATAAAGAGTTGCAGTAATCCGGCCTTGAAGAAACAAATGCATGGATTAGTTTTTCTGCATCTGTCTGTGATAGTATGTGTCTAATCTTTGTAATATTACATAAATGAAAGAAGGCAGTCCTGAAGGTCTGCTCTATGTGAGAGTTAAATGACAAATCCTGATCAAAGATAACTCCAAGATTCCTGACAGTGGTGCTAGAGGCCAAGTTAATGCCATCTAGAGTAACTATATCTTTAGACAGTGAGTCTCTAAGGTTTTTGGGGCCAGAACAAGAATTTCTTTTTTCTAAGTTTAACATCAGAAAATTGCAGCTCATCCAGGATTTTATGTCCTTAAGACATGTTTGTAATTTAGATAATTGATTAATTTCATTGGGTTTGATCGATAGATATAACTGCGTATCATCTGCATAACAGTGATTAGTTAATGGAGTGATTCCTAATAATGTTGCCTAAAGGGAGCATATATAAAGTAAATAGTATTGGTCCAAGTACAGAACCTTGTGGAACTCCATGACTAACTTTAGTATTTATTGAAGAATCATCGTTAACATGTACAAACTGAGAGCGATCTGATAAATATAACTTAAACCAGCTTAGTGCGGTTCCTTTTAATGCCAATTTGATGCTCAAGTCTCTGTAAAAGAATATCATGGTCAATGGTGTCAAATGCAGCACTAAGATCTAATAATACAAGTACAGAGCCAGTCCATTGTCAGAAGCAATCAGAAGGTCATTATTAACTTTAACCAGAGCTGTCTCTGTGCTATGATGAACTCTAAATCCTGACTTAAAATCCTCAAATAAACTATTGTTATGTAGAAAGTCACACAACTCTTTGGCGACTACTTTCTCCAGAATCTTAGAGAGGAAGTGGAGGTTAGAGATCGGTCTATAGTTGGCTAAAACCCCTGGGTCAAGAGTGGACTTTTTAAGAAGGGGTTTAATTACAGCTACTTTAAAGGACTGTGGTACATATCCTGACAATAAAGAAAGATTAATCATATCCAGTAAAGAAGTGCCAATTAAGGGAACAACTTCTTTAAGCAGCCTAGTTGGGATCGGGTCTAACAGACAGGTTGATGGCTTCGATGAAGAAATGATTGAAGTTAACTGATGAAGATCGATAGCAGAAAAACAGTCTAAATATATATCTAAGTTTACATTAGTTAGAAGTTCCCTGCACTTGGAGAGCCACTGGTAACTGTTGATGGCAGTTGGTGATTAATTTTTTCTCTAATAGTAATAATTTTATTATAGAAGAAGCTCATGAAGTCATTGCTACTTAAGTTTATGGGGATATGTGGCTCGATAGAGCTGTGACTCTCTGTCAGCCTGGCTACAGTGCTGAAGAGGAACCTAGGGTTGTTCTTATTTTTTCTATTAGTGCTGAGTAATAGGCTCCTCTGGCATTACGGAGGGCCTTTCTATAAATCTTAAGATCATCTTGCAATTTGAGCGATATTCTGATAATTTGGAGGGCCATTTCCTTTCAGATTTCCTAGCTATTTGTTTAACTGGCGGGTTTGGTGGTTATACCAGGTGCTAGTCTCCTATGTTTTAATAATTTCCTTTTATAGGAGCGATAGAGTCTAATGTTGATCGTAGTGAGCCTGTAGCACTATCGACAAGATTATCAATTTCGAGGGACTAAAGTTGTAATAGGACTCTGTTAAATTCAGACATGGCATTGAATTAAACACTGATGGAATCTCCTCCTTAAATTTAGCTATAGCACTGTCAGATAGACATCTGCTGTAGGAAGTTTTGCCTAATGGCTTATAATCTAATAGTATGAATTCAAAGTTACTAAATAATGGTCAGATAGGAAAGGATTATGTGGGAAGACTATTAAATGTTCAATATCAATGCCATATGATAAAACAAGGTCAAGAGTGTGATTAAAACAATGAGTTGGTTTATTTACACTCTGACAGAAGCCATTGAGTCTATTAATGATATAAATGCATTACTAAGGCTGTCATTGTCAACATCCACATGAATATTAAAATCACGTACAATAATTACTTTATCTGATTTAAGGACTAAGCTTGATAGAAACTCTGAAAATTCAGATATAAAGTCAGAGTACGGTCCAGGAGCGCGGTAGACTATAACAAATAGAACTGGCTGCAGTGTTTTCCAGTTTGGGTGAGAAAGACTAAGAACAAGGCTTTCAAATGAATTATAATTTAGTTTAGGTTTGGGTCTATTAAAACGCTCGATCATATGCTGCTACTCCACCTCCTCGGCCTGTGCCTCGGAATGTGAGTATTAATATGACTGGGGGGTGGATTCTAGGCTACATACTCCTCGTGGGACAACCGGTCTCGTAAGACAAAGTAATATATCTAATCTGATATTAATTCATTCACTAAAACAGCTTTGGGACGAGACCTGATATTTAACGTCCCATTTCATCTCTTATTTTTGTACTGGTTGGTTTTATTTTTATTAGATTTTTATGTTGAACTCCTCTTGTTTTTATTTCTTTAATGTTTAGGTGGTCGGGGACGACGTTTTGGGGTTTGGGTGGGTGACTGTTCTGGGGTGTGTAGGAGCTCTGCTTCTGGTCCTAACTCTGACTGTCGGTTTTGAGATAACTTCGCCTATTTCTGATAAGAGCCGCTCCATCCAAGTGGGATGATGCCGTCTCTCCTAATCGACCTTTTCCCAAAGGCTTCCGTTATCAATGGCCCTTTTGCTACCCCTGCGATCTGGTTCTGTCTCCTGCCTGGTATAGTAATAATTTTATTATAGAAGAAGCTTATGAAGTCATTGCTACTTAAGTTTATGGGGATATGTGGCTCAAGAGAGCTGTGACTCTCTGTCAGCCTGGCTACAGTGCTGAAGAGGAACCTAGGGTTATTCTTATTTTCTTCTATTAGTTCTTTTAGAGACTATAGGAACCACAAGTAGCCCTGCATTCAGAGAACGCAGTGTTCTAGAGGGGTAATAGGGTACTATGAGCTCTTTAACATATGATATATCTGCTAATATGTTACGATTCAACTGCCTACATGTTAAATCAATGTATATTGATTGACACAAGATTTTCAGTTCATGAAATTATTGTTAAAAATTATTATGAAGTACAGATAAAGGGTGGATGGATGATACTATTTCTGTGTCATCATGAGCATGAAATACAACTTATTCAAACTACGTAAACAAGTTATTGTCAGTTTTTCTAGCCAATGTAGGCTACAATGTCTTCTCTATAGGGATAAACTGAATAATTGTTGTCGTTGATAACGATATACCAACTAATAATTTTATAATAAGAACAAAAATATTTTTCTTCTTTAAAAAGATACATTGATTTTGTGTAATATTGGGAATGTTTTCCCAACAACATATGTACAGCCATATACCATAGATCTTCAATGAATAGCCCAGGCTTTTATTTGCTTCAATCACTGAACTCAACCTGCCTTCCAACCTTAGAATGGGCATCTACAGTATATGGGACAAGAGTTTAATTCCTTTTGCACAAAACTCTTCTCAGCAAATTAAATCACCAATTCATCAAACCCAAACACCATTCAAGGTAGATAATTATATTTCTTATAAAATTCAGTAATACATTCTTTAACAGCTTAATAGGGACTTGAACAGTACATTGTGGTTGGTTCCTTTGATTAGGACAAGCAGTTAATCAGTCTGCTGAACCAGACTGCTCTGTGCATCGCTGAAGGGCTTTCACAGCTGCCCCTCTCTCTTTGTCAGCCCTGCTGGAGTGGAGGTGTGGAGGCAGCAGCTGTCACACCTCTCAGCTCATGCTTGGATGAGATTTTGGGAAAGATGTTGTGTTCAGCTTGTCGACAAGCTAGTTTTGCTTGTGTTGCTGCAGCAGCAGCAGCAGCTGTCTGGGGAATTGTAATCTGCACACTATGATTAAAATACAAAATAAAAAACACCACACTGCTCCGCTAACATGCAGTGATTTCCATTTAATTATATTGTTCTCTCTCTCCAGTATAGACAAAGTGAAGGTTTTGTCTCTGATGCTTCATGCTGCAGACATCAGTCATCCAGCCAAAGCCTGGCCACTGCACTACCGCTGGACTCACAGTCTGATGGAGGAGTTCTTTAGACAGGTACACACACAACAACAATGCTCACACACAGGGGGGCTGCAGAGTTCTTCCCAGTCTGTTGTCTCAAAGCAGTCTCTGAGCCTAGCACTGTTCTCCTCAGACCACTCCTTCACAGGCCTCTTCTCAGGTGGTTGTTTATTCACCACAGGGGTGTAGTCTGTGACCAGATGGACAAGGTTGTGATCTGAGCGACCAAGCGGGGGGAGGGGGGATGAGGTATATGCATCCTTGATGTTTGCATGCAACAAGTCCAAAGTTTCATTGTCCCTGGTGTGGCATTTCACGTAACGGGTGAAGGTGGGGAGAGCAGAGGACAGGGAAGCATGGTTGAAGTCACCGGAGATGAGGAGGAGGGATTAGGGGTGCTGGTTTTGAAGCTGGGAGACGACAGTGTGGATCTGAACTGTAGCTGCAGCAGCGACAGCCGAGGGAGGGATGTACACAGTTACAGCAATAACGTGTGAAAACTCTCTCGGAAGGTATTACGGCCGCATCCTAACCGCTAACAGCTCCAAGTCTCTGGTGCAGAGTTGCTCCTTAACACTGATGTGTCCTGGGTGGCACCATCTTTCATTCACAAACACAGTGATTCCTCCTCCCTTCTTCTTACCACTCTCTTTTGCTTTCCTGTCCGCACGTACAACTTGAAATTCGTCCAAGGTCAGGAGAAAGTTCACTCAGTCACGTCTCTGTGTAGTACATGAGGCTGCATTCCCAGTACTCCCTCTGCAGCCGGGGTTAGCTATAACACTATAAAAACACTAAAAAGAGGGAAGAAAGTTCAGAGCTGCTGTGACTAGCTCCCACTCACGCAGCGCAAACATCCAACAACATTATGGCCCTTTTGGGGATATTACATAAACTTAGATTAATATCCTGGACACTTTCCCTAACCCTAGCCCTAACCACTAACCCTAAGTGTAACCACAGACCCAAAAATGTCCCCATTTAACTAGTCTTTAGTCTGAAATGTCACCAAGCGGACAAAATTCACACGCATCACCAACACAGCGGCCGAGATGATCGGACTACCCACACCCAATCTCACAGAACTGAACAACAGGGCCATCTCACGCATTGCAACCACAATAGAACTGGACATTACACACCCACTCAACCAATATCTCACCCCACTGCCTTCTGGACGGCGGTACCGAACACTGAGGCGCAAAAACATTTGCTTTGGAAAAAGCCTGATCCCTGCAGCTATTGCTGCTCTAAACAAAGGGGCACGCTGAGTGTAAGGTCCACCTGTCATGTACTATTTATTTGATTGTTTGTTTTTTGTGGATTTGTTGATTGTGGATGGCGTGTTTCTTTGTTGACTGTATGGTGTTGTCTGCAGGTGCAGTGATGTGGAGATGAATTTCCCTTGGGGGACAATCAATTGAATCTCTTGAATCTTGAAATGTGTCCTCAAAGGTAGCCTAAGTCAGAATATATACACAAACACATTTTTGGGGGAAAAAACTGTCAGCCAAATATGTCTTCCTCTGGAAAGACTCCTAAATACTAAATACTAACTTACTTATCAACCAAAATACAAGAGCAAAAGTGTAAGAAAAAAATTAAACAACACAATCACAGAATGTATGACTATTTTGGTTATGGATTTCATATATTTAAAAACATCTAAAACCAAAAATCTGATTGGGGACCCTGGACAAACTCTTGAAATAGAGTGTGTGGTCAAATCTGTGTCTCCAACACCCACCCGTCTTTCTGTTTGAATTTACAGTTTGAAAGTGGATGTAAATACCACTCAGAGTTGATTAGAGAATTTTAAAAAACCCACCATTTTCATGATGCCTTGGTGACTGTGTCTTTTCCAGGGAGATAAAGAGGTGGAACTCGGTCTTCCTTTTTCTCCTCTCTGTGACCGCAAAGCCACCATGATTGCCCAATCACAGATAGGTAAGAACAACCATCAACCAATAATACCTAAGGAGCACAGGCAGGTGAGGAGTCCCATTAACCAGTAATAGAAACGAGGGCTATACAGAAACTTCTGACAGTTAATATGTTTGTGCATATTAACTGGTTCAACACTGACATCTGCTGGTGGTTTGAAGAACACACACGTTCTCTGATTTCCAAGGTCTGATTATTAAACTATAAAAATAAGTTAAAAAAGTAATGTTTATCAATTACACTGTCTTTCTACTCCCTCTGACTGGTTGCAGGTTTCATAGACTTCATCGTGGAGCCGACTTTCAGTGGTCTGATTGATACAACAGAAAAAGTGATTGGTCCTCTGATAGAAGAAGACAGGAAGGCCAGAGAGACTGGAAACAGGAGATCCAGGTACCACTACCACTATTTTGGGGGAAGTGGTTACAACATAATATTAAAGCTGCAAGCAGCATTGGGTGGGACCTCGCCATCAACCTGCGTCGGGGCCTACGTCACCCGACGCCCAAGCCCTCATCGTCGGAAGCTGAGGGAGACCGCTCTACATTGTCACGCGATTCAGACACTGTGCAAAAGACTTAGCTTTCATAGCGAGACTCTTCACTGCGAACCGTGGAAATTCAGTGCCATGCTACACGCCGTTTGACGCACAGTAAATATTTGATTAACTTTTGATCACCAATGTGTCTAGATTGCAGTGATCGAATTTGAAGTCAATCCGATGAAACCTGTAGGAGGAGTTAGTTAAAATTGAAGCCCTGAAATGCCGGAAATGGCGTCATAGTTTGACATTTGATTCAAGCTGGCCAACTTTGTTGGCACGCCACGGACACGGCCTTCAACATACAGTTGCAAATTGCACAACTTTTAATCAGCAACATTTTTTGCCTGTACTGACCAATTTTGAAGCAGATTCAACAAATTCCCTAGGAGGAGTTCGTTCAAATACAAGGTGATAAATTCACCGAAAATGACCACAGAATTTAAAATTGCCGACTTCCTGTTGTGTTCGGATTATGGGTCCAAGAGGCTTTTTTGTATGTCCTAACTTACTATCAATGCCTGCCAATTTTCATTTATGTCCCCTAAACAGGACACCAGGGCGGTTTTTTTTAAAGTTTGTAGGGGGCGCTATAGAGCCATTTTGACACACCCTCAGGCAACATCCATATGAAATGTAAAATGCTGTATATCTTTAAATTTAATGCCACGCCACGCCACGCCCACTCACCACATTCATCACATATCATCAACAATGTGTTTTGCATTTCATAAGTAAATTTCAGCTGGATCTGATCATTCTGCTAGGATTAGAACATGAAAGTGTAAAACGTGATACTTCCTGTTGCCACTAGGTGGCGCTCTCACTATTACTGAACATTATCACATAGACGTGTTCAGGGTGGGACATGTGAAGTTTTGTTGAGATTGGATCATGTACGCAGAAGTTATGACAACTCCCTCTTTCATGGCGAATCGTTGAAATTACACGGCATGCCACTCAATGAGAAGTAGGTTGGACACAAGTGTATAGGTTGAAGCCTGGCAAGATGGATCCTCGAGTGATCTCATGATCTCGGGGGTCCATCTGCTTTGCATGGTTATGATTCTGATACCCAAACTCATGATATTGGCTTATACCAAAAAACGAATCCCTTACAACATGTCAAATCTGCAAAATTCACTGTGTGGGACTGATTAAGATATGTGTAAGCTCACGTGAGGCTGTAGCTACAGATCCATTATAAGGGTTCCCACTGGTAGAAAAGCGAATAAAAGATTCAGCAGTTTGAATTAGTTCACTTTCACCATAGCAGTTTATATAGGTTTAGTCGTATTTATGATGGTGAAAATAAGCCCCTGGTCCATAACTCTGCTCTGTTCTAGTCTAACAGGAAGTGGTTCAGTTACCGTGGAGTCAGTGCAAAGACACAGTAGTGGTCGCCATGGGAACAGTGTTGATGGACAGATGGACTTTTCCCTGACAGCTATTGACCTGCCAGCTCTGAGGCTCCACCTATCTGACGTCATTGCCAGCAACAAGGACAGATGGAAAGAGCTATCTGTGCACGGTAACTCACACACACACACACACACACACACACACACAGAGGTATAACTAAATCATGTATTTGTAGCTCTGTATGTTACGCTTTATTACATTTACCTTGAAAGTCAGAGCTGGAAAGGACGTCACCCCTGAGTTGACTACGTTCCAGTACAACAAGTTGTAAAACCAAGCTGTAGCCGTTGTTAGCCATCATTAGCAATACCAGTTGATAACAATGCATTATGCGGTATTTTGCACAACGCTGTAGCAACATGTCCACAGACTGTACTGTGTGTACGCCTAATATAATGAGACACAAAAGACAGAAGTGCTATAAAACATTTTATTACTACAGCTTTCACTACTTTTAATGTGTGGATCAGCCATCTTGGATTTTGAGGTCAGAGTTGGTGAGGTTCTTCTGACTTTCCGACTCAGAAATTTTGACTTCCCAGCAACATCAGTTAGGTATATTGTCTCTTCCCATCAGACTTCGAAAATGCCATCAGCGGATGTAAATTACTTCTGTTTCACTATTAAAGGACAAGTGTGTAGGATTTAGTGGCAGTTAGCAGTTAAAATGCCCTATTGCAACTAACTGAACACTGTTTGCATCTGTATTTAAAGGGACATTGTGTAGGAATTTCTCCCATCTAGCGGTGAAATTGTATTTTGCATTCAAACGAATAGTGCTCTCTAGTGCCTCGCGTTTTGAAATGCGCATTGCAACTACGGTAGCCGTTATGTACCAAGAAGCCTACCTGTCAAGGAGACATCTAGAGATGGTCTAAGGTAACAAAAACACAACGATTCCTATATTCAGGTACTTATACACCAATGAAAACATAGCGATGAATATTATATTTAATTTCTGCAAATAGATCCTCCTCCAAAGCACTTTAAACTTTATTATCTGTATTATCAAGTCATGTTCTTGTTAAAGCAAATCCTATAGGATTGTCACTTTTTCCAAAAGAATACCACTGTCTGGTGGCAATGAGAAGAGTCTCTAGCATGGCTTCAGACTATTTATCTTGTTAGTTGTTTCTGTAACTTTAAATTCTTTGCACAGAACATAACTTGTTCCTTCATATAGATGTGGTAGAAACGCAATTCTGTATGAAATTTCCTGTAACTTCAAACTGCAGGCAAAAGAGGCCTAAATCCGACTTTTTTGCCCATATGTGACCCATATCAGATTTTGAGTCTGAGCAGCACAAATCAGATTTTTTCAAATCAGATCCAGGCCACTTTTATATGTGGTCCTAAATCCAATACATATCTGATGTTTTTTAAAGCGACCTCAGTGTAAACAATCATGTCATTTCATCCGACTTTTATGTCATTGAAGTGAGACAGGTGTCACAATTCTGCTCTGGAGGAGGCAGGACGCGGCAATATCATAATCATCATCATAATTTTGTCGGCTCTGATTGCACAACAACTGCAAAACTGATACACACACGCTGACATTTGTAGCATCCATATTAACTTAACTGTAAACACAGTGTGCTGCGTGTGACGTCAAGTCTTCTTCTACGCATGTGGTCACTTCAGGGCCGTAGACTGTTCACACTGGAGTCTGATGGTGGTCGCATTTAAATTATAATGTGAACAACCACGCAAATATATCGGATCTCAGCAAAAAATCGTAATCGGGCATTAAGACCTGCAGTGTGAACGTACCCTTAAACTTTCCTGTGTGTCTACTGTGCACAGAGCTGGCCAATAAGGAGAAAGAGGAAAAAGAGGAAGTGGAGTCTCATGTCAACTCAGACATACAACCGCATGTCTCACCCAGTCACAGTGTCCCTGATGGACACACCTCTGACCAGTCACAGAAGTCAAACTGCTCCCCTCCTGATGAAACACATGACAACAATTCTTCTGACCACATGCCTACAGATCACCTGACCTGGAATGGTACAAACATGACATCACATGCAAACTTTTCCTAAACTTAGACTCTCAATGTTCTCACTTGATGCTGTGGTAACTGTTGCAGGGGCGGGGACAGGGGAGGAGGAGAAGGAGAAGGACAATGATGAAGTGCTGGAAAACGTCTGATGATGCTCCACGGCGAGCCCGCCACTGTATCTGACTGTGGCAGATCACCATGGCAACAGATGGTATGGTGCAGTGATAATAAGAGTTCAGGCTCTTCTGTTTAAACACAGCAGCTGACAGTGTGGTTCAGTGGCCCCCAAATGGCCCCAAAATTATGTTTACAACTGACCATAAAATTATCACATTCAGAGGGACAAGATTCATCAAATAACAGCTTCTTAGCAGCTTCATGGTCCATTTACAGTGGTGAAAGTGTTTGTTATTTATTAGAAACTCAAAGGAACAGTGTCAGTGAAAATGTTGGCAATATCAGTTTAAATCAAAATAAAGACAGACAAGATAAAACCAAAGAGCGTATAGTGGCTGAAAATGTCCTCATCATGGCTAAGGCAGGCTAAATGTCTGTTATCTGAAGGAATGAGACATGGAGCTGTTAAGAAGCAGTTGTGGAGGCTTTGTGAATGAAGCTGAGCAGAGTGACAGGTGTGTTGTTACACGTCTTATAATATGTTAGAAATGTGTAGAGATATTTGCTCTGTTCTCTGTTCTGCATGTGCTTCTGGCTAAAACCCAATATGTGATGTCAGAGCTGTCAAATAATAGTCAATAGATCCTTTAGGCTATGGCATGGTTTTAAAGCTGCAGTAGGTAACTTTTAAAATAGTAACTTTTTGTCATATTTACCGAAACTTTCACTATATCCTGACAGTAGTACATGAGACAGATAATCTGTGAAAAACTCAGGTTCCTCTGGTTCCTCCTGGTGCTCCTAATGGCATTTGCTAGAACGCACAACCAATCAGAGAAAAAACAACCAATTCACCTGTCATAAGGAGCATGACATCTTGTACAAACATTCATGGCTCCCATTTGATGTATCATATTGACTTTGGTGATCCTCTGACTCTCCATCATTATGCTATCAGCAGGTCAAAATTTTCACTTATCCAGTGAAATATCTCAGAATCTATAAAATGTAATTTTATAGCTACAGACATTCATGATTCCCATTGTTGAGCCAGATACAAAGCGTATAGCGCTAGACATATGTGATTTTTTTGTCTTCATATGGAGAAAATAAATAACGTACAGGCAGCCAGCCTTTCCGACTCCGACACTCTGACCTATTTTTGTTACACAAATTGTTGGAGTTACAGAAACACATTTTACTACGATTGTACCGGTGTGATTATATGTAACAATTTAACATAAACATGGTTGCCAGACTAGAACAGGCTAGCGCTAGTCAGTCACAATAGCTGTTTAAAGACACAGTGAAATGGGCACCTGGTTAGCTCAGTTGGTAGTGCTGGTGACCCATGTACCAAGGCTGAGTCCTTGCTGCAGCGGCCCAGGGTTCGAGTCCGACCTGCAGCCCCTTGCTGAGTGTCATCCCCTCTCTCTCTGCCCCCATTTCCTGTCTACCTTCGGCTGTCTCTATCAATTAAAGGCAATAAATAGCCCAAAAATAGCGCCTTTCTGTCTTCCGACCGCTCAAAGCGCTTATACACTACATGCCACATTCACCCTTTCACACACATTCACTCAGTGATGATCCATCAAACAGAAACTAACATTCATAAACATTCACACAACGATGCACGGCATTGGGAGCAATTTGGGGTTCAGTATCTTGCTCAAGGATACTTCGACATGTGGCACCAGGAGCCGGGGATCAAACCCACAACCTACCGATTAAGGAACGACCTGCTCTGCCTCTGAACCACAGCCGCCCAATCAAATGTGATTTGGGGCAGCTAAGGTTTACAGAGATTCAAATCTGAAGAGCCTGATTTAAAAGTGGTAGCTAATCTAATTGTTACTGCTATAATTACGTTGTTAGCAATAGCCTCATTATTTTCTAACATCAAATCGTTACACTTATTAGAAATTGATGAACAACTGATAAAAACAAAAATTTAAAATCCTAGGCATTATAGCACAGTGTATGCTTGTGTAATAATATAATATCAACTTAAAGAAAATCAGTCAATGGAACAAACAAATTTAAGTTCACTAAAACAACTTTATTCACTAGTTGAGTAGTTAATGAGTTCATTTTTGAGTTAGCTTTTTTCATGGGATTGAGTGACTGAAGGATTAAGTTATGTTAACTTACTTCTTTTATTAAGCTATGCTGTTAGGTTTTATAGTGTAGAATTGTAATGCCAAACTGACCTAACTTATACCTGCTGTGTCATTACAAACTGGGGCATGGCCAGAAGTAAAATGTGTGACAGTTGGAACCCTCAGTGAGCAGAGCAGAAGCAGCGAATCAGTGTGAATTTCTAACCTTTGAATGGGCAGTCAAAAACAGAGTTTACATGTTACCACTTTAAAGGACTTTTCTTTTTAACAACATGGGTCGTCTTGTACTTTTGGCAATATACCCATAGGTTAGCGTAACATAGTACTCGCCACCATCATTGTAGAAACTTTGGACACAAGTACACAAGCACTCCGATGGAAACAGATTTTTCCTTTAAATCAACAGTGTCTGTTGTTTCTGTACTCGGTTGTAAAACCGTGTTACTGTCACTCCTTCTGACTGTGAATAAAGAACAGTGCTGTCCATAATATCACCATGGTGACAAGGGCAACAGGAATACCAGTTTCTATAGCAATGGCCAATGAGCTGATGGGTGGAGCCAACATGGCAGACAGTGAAAACACTTTAGATCCTCTGAGCACTGTGTTTGTTGATGCAATGTGTACTATAGTCATTGTGTGCTCTTTGGCTCTGTGTGTGTATGTGTGTGAGGCTGTGTGAATGAGTGAGTGTGAGAGAGAGAGAGTTTGTGTGTGTGTGTGTGCACTGTATACTGTAAAGCTGTTTTCTGTATTATTGTATTAAACACTGACAACTCCAGTCCCCTCGTTATCTTTATTCAAGTCTTTCTTCAAATATGTGATAATATTGTTTTCCTGCATGTGATGTTGTAGAATATAAGAAGTACAGGTCAAGGCTCAGGAATTTAGAAAGTCACAAAGCAGTCTCTCACCTCACTTTATTGGGAGTGGCAGTGAGGAGCAGCTAGATGAAAGGGCAGAGCAACATGAAATCAATGAACTTTGAAAGCAGTGAGACAGCCAATCACAATTGTGTTTCTTTGGTAAATCTAACCCCTCAACCAAATGGTATTTGCCTCAATTTCTCAAAACAGCACTCAATGCTATAATATGTAACACACACGTTGTGGTTGTCTGTCAGAAGCTGTCATACATTGACTGTTTATCCAGTCTGAAGCCACATTGTTACCATCCATTGTTTAGATCTTGGTGCTTTTTAACTCTAGATTTGAACCGGATGAAGGATTTTAGTCATCAAACATCTGGATCTTAAGTTATCAGAGAAACAAGCTGAGCTAACGTTAGCAGCAGCTCGGCTCGCAGCCCCTCCGGGACGTCCTTTGTCTGTCCAACAGTGTGGGAGAAGCAGTGATTGTTAAGGTGGAACTGCTTTATTCAGTGTTTTTAGTGGTTTTAATCAGCGGGTCCGTTTGTTTTGGAGAGGAGGAGACCTCTGTGGATCATTGGGCTCCCGGTAGAAACCTCCTGAACCATGAACACTGAAGGAATCCTAACGGGAGAAGCTGACTGCAGTGACTGCAATGATCCCACGCTACTTTACTAAATTTTTTTCATCAAACCAAATAGCATCAGCATACATACATACTTTTTAATCTTTGGGTTTGGGGGAAGGTATCAGGTATTTTCAAGTCAAAAGGCTCAGGTCCAAGTGAGCAGGGCACAGTGCGAGTCGATTCTAAAGTAATCAAATTTGTGACTCGAGTCTCACACATCTACCATTTTGGTTGTTTTTTCCACAGATTATCTGTCTCATGTGTCAGAATCAGTTTTGGGTACTAACTCATTACTACTAATAATATTACAGAAATAATTTTATTTTCCCCAGTAACTAGTAGTGTAACTAATTACTAATACATTTCAGTAGTAATATTAGTTACTCGTCCAAAAAATTACTTATTACAATATTACTTTTGATGTCACACTCTACTAAAAATAAAATATTCCATTATTTGAACAAACAAGCCGGAATTTTGAGGAGAAATAACACAACTGCCAATTTTGTGGGTGCTTTGGGTGCTGACGTACTACGGCAAGCTAGCTAACGTGCGGCTCGGTGAGGACATTAGTGCTATGACTTTTCTAAGCGTTTCGCCAAACAGTTTGCCGATAAATCGCCATAAAACGGTCCAAAAAATGAATGGGTGTGTATTGCGAGAATGTTCAACTGAAAAAAAACGCTGATTCACTTAGAGTGTAGGGAGAGAGAAGTTTTTTTCGAAAAATAAATTTGTAAACTGCTCTCAAGGCCACAAATGTCACTCTACAGAAATAATTTATAGATAGATAGGAACATTTTTTAACTTTAGCCACTGAAACTCGGCAGTCCTATAGTCAACAAGATGACGACGCTCACAGTCTTTTCGGTTTTCATTTCATTTCATTTTCTTTTCGGTCGTTTTTTGGTCATTCCTGGCCAATGGTTCGAGGGGGTTCATTTTGAGATTTTCTGTCTCTCTCAGGAGTTAGAGACTGCCTGTATGATAACATACACCTACACAGAAATACAGTCCCCATCCTTGCTAGGACCCTGAAGGATGTTGCCCTTGGAAGGAGCCTTACTACCACTCCAAGGGGTAACCACCCAATGCAGACCCCACGCAGACCGCCGGTACCTCCTTGTAGGGGTTACACTACTATTTAATTAGAAAGGTAATCACTGAAGATTAATAATACACTTGTAAATGGGGCACCACCTCTGTTGTTTAGCTACTGGAATAATCCAGAGGAAATTATTCCACAGATCTAATCAAATCAATTTCAAATCAATTTATTAAATTCCAAAATCTATATTTAATCTCATATTTCTGAAGTAGTGATTTCTTTTACACGATTCATCGATTTTCCCGCATCAAATCAAACCGGCACCGACAAGGACATACGGTTATATATGTTTATTAACTAAACTAATGCAGAGTAAATAGCATGAAGTGATAAGGCAAACAAACAACAACAAGTAACAGAATAGGTGGACAATATATGAATTATTACTATTAGGTGATTCAGGAGCGATGGTGGATTTTGCGATGCGGCAGTAAGTTTAAAATATTCCGAGAGTAAATTTTAGAACTGAGAGGCCCTAATCGAAAATTCTTTTAAACTTAAAAGATGGGAATCAAAGCTTACAGACAGACACCAGCTCTTTTTCATGTGTGTGAATCCGGCCGTGTACCGGAGAGTCAGCCTACTTTGTTTGTAGATGGAACTTGGAAGGATTCCAGGTCCTTGGCTTTTAGCTCAACTGCGGCTTTGCGTCACTGATCCAACAGGCCGAAGGGAGTTGCGTCTCGTCCCTGGTACCAGTGGCAATCTCTCCAAAAGGCCCAGCGCGGCGTGTGCGCTAGTGAGCGTTGGGGGCAAGGTGGCTGGAGAATAATGTCTTTATTCGGCTGGAAACGTTTATACGTCTTCTTGAGCAGTCAACTACTGCGACGTCCTTCTGGCTGATGATGAATGTCTTAGAGTGGTTGGTCTTCAGCTTTGATTGTAAACTAATTCAGCTTCTTGTTTGAAAATAACTGGAGGATGAAACGCTGGCCTGGCGAATTCTCCATCGTCACTAAGTCCAAGAATTAGATTAAATTCACTTTCTGTGAATCAGGCGACAATACTTGACGATAAGACTACAACAATATAAAAGAAGAAATTCGTTTGTGTCTTGAGCTTTCAAAATAAAAGTACTTAGAAAAGTGCTTCAGCACAGCAATTTATAACTTGAAGAAAAATTCGACACGTGTCGCAAACGAAGTAAAATAAAGTACGGAAATGAAAAGTAAGAGCGAGAATAAATAACGAGTGGATCTAACACTCTTAGAAGGAAGACAGGATCAGAAGAGTAAGAGAGAGAGGGAGTGACCGGAGTCTATCTCTTATATCTTTTATTCTGGAGGCGGAACTGGACGAGAGGAGCTGACCGCGCGCGTCACTTCCTTTAGCAATATTTTGATATTCGTAACTTTATAATTTATTTCTATCGTCTCTAAAAGTTTCAAAATCATAATTCACCATTCACAGAACCCACCATGACTTTATACATAGTTCACATGTTTTAACATAACATAACTAAGTAGCTAATAAGTAGCACTGAGGGATTGTACATATTTCGTATAGTGCTAGCTTAATCCTTGTTACAAAAATTATGTGTCAGGCATTTACTATTTGGAATAATACACAATTATGAAACAAAGTTCGTTTTGAAAGTACCTTTTACAACTATACCAGAATCTTACCAAAAGGTGGCACTGTGGCTCCATCAAACATTCAGACATTTTACACATGATTTTGTAACTTAGTCCAATCTGAAGACAGAAACATCAGACAAACATTACATTTGCGACCTTCTCATGCTGGATGGCAATCTGTTAATTAGGAGAAGATGAAATTTTACCATAATACTCCAACAGAACTAAATCTATATCCGTGCAACTGTTGTTACTGCTTCCTAGATTGGAATGTCCACTATCAAAAGAAAACATCGTAATTTACACTTTAGAGGAAGGGGTGTCAGAATGCCAGATGTGGATTCCAGAGGAGTTTCTCTCTGGAGGTGGACCTGTCAGACTAAAAGAGATGTAAACATATTTCAGGGATATCTAACCCTGATTTACAATCAAAAAGGCACTTAATTATCACACACGATCCACTTTAGGTGTAGGGTGTCGTTCTGATCTGTGGAGAAGTCAGTGTTCTGTTAAAGAGAATAAAGCAAATTGACACCTAGAGATCCCATCTGAGAATCTAAAAAGAACCAGGCTCTCTGTGCAGGAGACTGTCGGCGCCACAGTCTCACCTCCCCTCCTGGGTCAAAAAGGTCAAAGGGAAAGAAGGCCTTGAAAACTCTCCTGGTGGAACATAATCAAAATAATATGATGATTGTTGAATTAAGAGACGGATAAAGCGTCTCTTGTAGAGGAAGACGAGGACAAGGTCCTACATCCTCGACCTTCAAGACCATCCAGACCTCCACCATGCTTCCACCCCCAGCTGTCAGAGAGGACGACCAGGCCACCAAATCCACCGCATCACCAACATCACAACCCACAGCCCACCCCAGCCAACACAACACTGGCCTCTGATACCCAGCCAGAGAGCCAACCTGGAAGTCCTATACCCCCCTTCCTCCCAACGGCAGAACCAAGACTACAGGAGCAGCAGCCTATTGGGCTGAACTATGCTGCAGTGGTGAGAAGGACCACAGCCCCACCCCCCTCTGGTGAACTCATAGAAATATTACACATGTTAAACCTGCTCTGCTCTCGCCTGATGTAGTTACATGGTGGAAGAGCAGAGACACCACAATAATTAATAGTTTAACATGTTGTATATCATTTTAAATGAATAGTAATATAAGGACAATTCTTAACAGTATTTCACACATGATACACTCTAAAATGTCACTCAAAGTTTAATATTTTATTAATTTACCTCTTTTCGTCTTTTTACACTTTTCATTTATTACCATTATTATTTTTTAATATCTAGTTTATTATTATTATTTTTCTTTTAAGGTGTTTGTCTAATTTTTGAACGGATCACACTTAGAGATGAAATCGTTTACAATAACATGTTGGAACATTCAAGGTCTGAGATCATCAGCTTTTGGTTTAAAGAGCAGAAATTCAGATTTTAATAGACAGTTAAAAGACTCTGACATCATAGTTTTACAGGAGACATGGTGCAGAGAAGATGTTTCCACTGGTCGTCCTCACGGCTACATTGAGATTATTATACCATCAACAAAACATCCCACAATAACCCAAGGCAGAGATTCAGGATGTGGTG